CTGTGTGGCGTTGTACACCAGGGAAATCCCTGGCCTCCCCGGGTTCCAACCCCAATCGCCAGGCATCGCCCAAGGCAGAGATAATTCTGGTGTCGCCAACCTCCAGGTGGGGTCTGGAGACCCCTGGAATCACAACCCATTCCTAGACTATGGAGACCAGTTTCCAGGAAGGGGATGGATGCTGTGGTGGGTGGGGGGGGGGGGGAGAGAGAGAATGACGACTCTATGGCATGAGACCTTCCTGAGGTCCCAACCCAGCGCTCCCTCCAAGCGGTGGAGTCTTGTGAGCAGAAATTCCACTTTGTGAGCTACTGGCATTAAAGTGGTGAGCTATTTGGCTACTGCATACATTAGTTTGCTCTGGGGCCTTCCTGAGCTGAGACAAAAATGTGTGAGCTGGAGCCTAAAAAAACGGTTGAGCTAGCTCACACTGACTCAGCTTAGAGGGAACACTGGTCCCAACCCTCCCCACATTCCACCCCCAAACCTCCAGGCGTTTCCCCAGTCAGAGTTGGGGACCCTAATTCCTAGTGGGGGGGTGTTCCCAGTGTTCCCTCTAAGCTGAGTTAGTGTGAGCTGGCTCACAGTTCTTTAGCCTCGGGCTCAGACATTTTCGTCTCAGCTCAGGGAGGAGGCCTCCAGAGCAGACTAATGTATGCAGTAGCCAAATCTCTCGCTCACAACTTGAATGCCAGGTGCTCACAAAGTAGAATTTTTGCTCACAGGACTCCACAGCTTAGAGGGAGCATTGGACTGTCCCGTCCCCCCCCCACTAAGCAGTGAAGCAACAGCCCTTGTTGTCCCCAGCCAGAAGATCAGGATGGATTTAATACCTAAGTCTCTTTTTTAAAAAGAGAAATTGCAATTTTTTGCTTTTCAGCAGAGGGTGCACTGCAAGCTGGGCTGGCCAAAAATAACCACAAAACTTTTCCTCCCCCCCTCTCCCTGCCTACCCTCCCTTCTCTCTCTCTCTTCCCCCACCCCCGGGGTGGGGGGCTTTTGAAAAGTGGGGTCGCTAGGAGACAGGCAGCGGCCTGCGAAGGCGGCATTCTCCCGACGTGGCCGGCCTTCTTAGCGGGCCCATTGAGCGGGTGCAATAAAGCGTGAGGGGGAACTAATCTCTCCATTTAAATGTTTGTGGCAATTTTATCTAAATGAATTTTAATGCTAAACGAGGGATAATTCCCTATTTGTAACCCGTTTACTTCTAACTTTCCTCGGCCTGTTTAAAAAAAAAGAAGGAAAGAAAGAAAAAAGAAGCCCCTCCTAACATCAGGCGGGGAGGGGGGAACAGGCGCTCCCCCAACCCTTTTCCCCAAATGACACTTCTAGGCCCAGGATTCCTGAATGTGTTCTAATTGCAGCTGATTAAGAGGCTTGGGGATAGATGGAGAAGGAGGTCATGTTTGGCAGGGTGGTTTCTGTCTCGCGGGTGTCCCCCGCTCCCCCCCAAACAAAAAACTTGAAATGGACAAAAATGAGTTAAATTTAGTGTACAGGGGGAGCCAGTGTTCCCTCTAAGCTGAGTTAGTGTGAGCTAGCTCAGTTTTTTAGCCTCCGGCTCACACATTTGTGTCTCAGCTCAGGAAGGAGGGCTCCAGAGCAAACGAATTGATGCAGCAGCCAAATGCTTGATCACCGCTTTAATGCCGGTAGCTCACAAAGTAGAACTTTTGCTCACAAGAGACCCCACAGCTTAGAGGGAACATAAGCTGTGGAGTCTTGTGAGCAAAAATCCTACTTGGTGAGCTGCTGGCGTTAAGAGTTGTGAGCGAGCGATTTGGCTGCTGCATAAGTTATTTTGCTCTGGGGCCCTCCTTCCTGTGCTGAGGCAAAACTGTGCGAGCCGGAGGCCGAAAAAACTGGGAACCGGCTCACACTAACTCAGCTTAGAGGGAACACTGCAAGGGAGTGTCGGGAAGAATCGATTCTCTTCGCCCGAAAGGCGGCGCAAAAAAAGCCAGTTGATTTTTTTGGGGGGGGAGTTTCGAAAAGGGGTGAAGGTTTTCAAGGAACAATATATATATATATTTTAAAAAACAAAACCCAACAGGATAGCAGGCTTGCCCATAAACACCTTTTTACAGTCGCCCACCTGATCCAACATTGAGAACTTTGGAGGGTTGGGGGAGGGGGTGGAGCCGGAGGAGGGCTTGGAAAGGGGAAGGACTTCAGTGTGATATGACACCATAGAGTCCACCTTCCCGAGTGGCCATTTCTTCCAGGTGAACAGGTCACTGCCACAGGAAGTGGTGGCAGCTACAAGCATGGACGGATTCAAGAGGGGATTAGATAAGCATATGGAGCAGAGTGGCTATTAGCCACAATGTATAGATAGGGGCTCTGGGGCAAGTGATGCTGTCTTCTTGCTGCCCCGGTCAACAGTGGGAGGGCTTCTGGAGTCCTGGCCCCACTGGTGGACCTCCTGATGGCACCTGGTATTTTTGGCCACTGTGTGATACAGAGTGTTGGACTGGATGGGCTTTTGGCCTGATCCAACATTGGCGTCTCTTATGTCCTTATTAGATCAGTTGTGATCCCGGGAGATCTCCAGCCACCACCTGGAGGTTGGTAACCCCAGAAGGGCCCCTTTAGGCAAGGATAGTATGAGAAAGATGGTGGGTGGCGGGGAGGGAGTCAGACACGGAACCTAAGGTACTCCCTGCCACTGGCTGGGCAGCGGCTGCCTTACTCACCCACAACCCCTTTCCCAGTTCAGGCGAATCTCTTTTTTTTTGGGGGGGGGGTTCCCCAAAAGAATCATGGCTCTGGAAGGGGGACTCTGAGCAATGCTCCCTCTAAGCTGTGGAGTCTGGTGAGCAAAAGTTCTGCTTTGTGAGCTGGGCCTGCTGTCAAGTAGGGGCGGGGCGGGGTATAAATCAGATTAATTAATTAACTAGGAATATTCCTAACCTTCCCACTCCAAAAGAGGGCATTTTCATCGGGTTTTTTTGGGGGGGGGGTTCCCCAAAAGAATCATGGCTCTGGAAGGGGGTCTCTGAGCAATGCTCCCTCTAAGCTGTGGAGTCTGGTGAGCAAAAGTTCTGCTTTGTGAGCTGGGCCTGCTGTCAAGTAGGGGCGGGGCGGGGTATAAATCAGATTAATTAATTAACTAGGAATATTCCTAACCTTCCCACTCCAAAAGAGGCCTTTTCCATCGGGTTTTTTTTTTTTTAAGTTGCGAGCGAGCGATTCGGCCGCTGCATAAATCAGTTTGCTCTGGAGCCATCCTTCCTGAGCCAGGACACACACAAAAAAAGCTGTGAGCCGGAGGCTAAAAAACTGTGAGCTGGCTCACACTGACTCAGCTTAGAGGGAACACTGGCGCCGCATCCAATGAGCTCTATGGCCAGAACTTTAGGATCTAATGGAGAAGGAGACAGTAGCCGTGAGCTGGAGGTTTAAAAAACGAAACGAAACATCACATTAAAGACTAACAAAATTTGTGGCCGGGGGGGGGGAGCTTCTGTGAGTCAGGGCTCACTTCTTCAGATACGCCAAAGAACAGAAAAGCGCACAATTTTTTTTTTTAAAAGTGTTTCTTTCAAAAAAAGATCTTTATGACAGTTCAGGATGAAGAGGTTCATAGTTTAAATCTGAATGTGTGACTTGAACCTTAGGATTCCAGGGGGGGGGAGAGAGAGCATGTAAATGCAAGGTGAATTCGCCAGTGAGTGGCCCTAATTTATCATCAACCCTGTTAGGATAAGGAGCAGATTAGAAATTAGCCCTGGTGCACCTCTTCTCCGAGAAATAAAGCGTCCTACCCCACCCGAGTAAACAAAAAAGGGAGGCAGGGTAATGCGTCAACAGCAGGTAAGCCCATCCATCAAACCCTGCCTAGTAAAATCCACAAGAGGCAACCCGGGCTTCTCTTTTAAATAAAAGACGGGAATTGTTCCAGGCGGGTTTATGGGGTGACACGGATTTGAATGGCAAGACACCACATGGCTTTCTCACCACCCCGAGGTCTTTTGTTCACACGGCTCCGTCACTGCTAGCATCCTTTTTTTTTAAAAAAAAGAAATTTAATAAGCATGCTTTAGTTAAAATATTTGTATGTTTGTTCCAAAGCCCCTTAGGAAACGCTTTGAACAGCTGTGATTTTATTTAGAAGAAAATTATAAGGTATTGTATCCTAAACGTGTTATTTGATTCTATTTAACCAGTTTGGCGGCGGTGCGCGGAGAGGCCAGCTGGGCTCTGGAAATGGGTTAATGGCCCAGCGAGCGGCCAATCGCAGTGCGGGATTTATTTACGGGCATTAGATATTTTTAAACGTCTTGCCGCCCCCTGCAACTACAAGTAGTTGATGCAGGGTTACCCTATTTTGACGAGCAAAAATAGAGGACATATTTCCTGACTAATTGCTTCAAACAAATGGTCCCTCTGACGAATCTCATTTTAAATACCCCTACTATTTAAGCTGCGATAATTGCTGGTAACTAGGAATATTCCTAACCTTCCCACTCCAAAAGAGGGCATTTTCTTCAGTTTTTTTTTTTTAGAAGAACAGCCCAAAAGAGAATGGATACCAAAAAATAGAGGACATTTGGTAAGTTAATGTACAAATGTGCATTTACGTGGATTTAAGGAAGGTTTTTTTAAGTGCTACACTTTCTAATCCTCTAATTTGAACAGAAGTTTAATCTGCTTTATTAAAACAATTTTAATGCAAATATCGCCTATTAGTCGTTTTAACAAGACACATTTATTTTTTAAAAAATCTGATTTAAGGCTAAGTCTCTCTCTCTCTCTCTCTCTCTTTGCCTTGGGATCTTAACTTTTGATAAGATCACCCTGAAAATAAACAGGGTGAACACTATGATATGCTAACACATGGTAATATGATCTACTTCTAAATAAAGAAGTATTAGGAAGTCATCCGGCATTAAACTCTTAGTTATTTCGAGAGGTAGATGGGCATACTTGTTAGAAAGCCCCTCTGGGTTTGGAGGGCCAAAGGGAGCAAAAGAAACGTCGCAAGCGGTGGAGCCGGCATGACAAAAAATAATTTGCTTTTATTTTAGATTTCAGATTTCGTTACTGCACTCAAACTACTACAACTGGGCTTTGCGTTATTGTACAATCCAAACCGTTTCGATCAGAAACTCTAAGACTCAATGTGCAATGATTATTAATAATAATTTCGCTCCTTGGTTTCTTGATAGAAAAAAGGCTATCGACAAGCATTTTGTTTTTAACCACAACAAAAGTAAAATTAGCTTATCCCACTTAGTAAAATCTGTATGCATGCCAACTCATACCAAACTGCTACATTTACAAAAAAATAAAATAAAAATGCAATAATACAGTTCGTTTTTCCAGTCCTTTTTTGTGGGTTTTGTTGGTTTTTTTTTTTTTTGCACAAAATTTATTTACAATGTATACAATAATATGCTCCATGATGGGACTATGGAAAAATGCACGACTGATGCTTGGGAAACATCCCCCCCCAAATAAAAATAAGTCGGCGTAGTAAAAAATAACTCTTCAGTTTGTTTTTTTGAGCGGCGTAAAACAGGAAGTGATGTCGGTGGCGTTCACTGCTGCTGCTGCGTCGTGGGGACATGAGGACGAATCTCTGATGTGACAATTTCGGTTCAAATACACTTTTTTCTCCCTCTCTCGGTTTCCATGCCTCCTCCTCCTCCTCCTCCTCCCAGGCTTCTTAAGACACACACTGCCTGCAACAGCTGATTAATCATTGTTGAAGACTGCTGGTTTTTCCCATCCTTCCCGATTTACATCTGTTCAGGCCAATTCAAATATGGTGAGTAAATGAATTAGACATGCAAATTCACGCCCCGGGCTAGATAAAAGGGGGGGGGAGAAGAAGAGCTAAGAAGAAAGAAGAAAAAGAGAAATACAGAGTGCATGGCTGAAATCCTAGGAAAGAAGAAACGTTCTTCTGCCCGACGTAGATATTTTTAATGCTCTAAAAATCGGCAAATAAATTGGGTTGGGGTTTTTTTGTTTTTGTCATTTGCAGGGTAACTGTAAGGCTTTTCCACTTTCTTTTCTTTTTTTTAAATGTAAGGAGGCTTCTGAAGGAATTGAAGAGCTATGGAAACAACACACATAGTGTGGAAAAAAATTCACATTTTTTTTTCTTAAAAAATCTATAAGAAACAACGTAATATGGATAATAGAATAATAGCATTTTACAATATTCCACTCTGTTGCCTTATATAGTTATTTTTTTTTGCATGTCCCCCCCCCGCCCCGCCCCAGACGTTGAACCGGTTTGCGGTTGTGTTTCGTCCTGCTTTCTCAGGGTCCCTTTAAATGGTGAGTTGGGATAAGTTCCTTGGTCCAAACTAAAGGCCAAGATCGGAACTCCGTCGAGTCACTGCCGGAGCGACGACATTCAACTTCTGCCGTCGTTGAAGATAAAAAGTATATTCCCTTAAGCTACTGAGCATGAATGTCCATGACTTGTCCACTCATTGCCGGGTCTCCTGTGTTGAGCATAGTGGGGCTAGTTGCTGACATCGGCCTTCCGGGGGGTCCTCCGTGCAACATCATGGCAGGGTGGTGTGGGTGTCCAGGAATGTAGGTATGCATCGGGGGGCCGTGGCGCAGCTGAGCTGGATGTGGGGGCATCTGGGGTGGCGTATAACTTGGCTGTCCCATATTCATGCCCATTGGACCACCCCGAGACACGTAATCCCCGGGCATACTTTGCAGTCCTGTGGAGGGGGGGGGTAAGGAAGAGAGAGAGAGAGAGAGAAACACGCGTCAATATTAAACCCGATTTACCTAAAAGGCAATGCGGCTTTCTCAAGTTTTAAGTCTTTTCCTTCCAGGAGTTCTGCACAGGAATAATGTTTTAGCACATGAGGTCCTTGGGAATACTCGGACAACGTTCGGTATGTACCGACACAAACGTTTCGATTGCAGTTTGCAACAAAGAAAATAAACGTGCAAGAGTTACTTATTCCTCCGTACCCATAATGTTTGGAAAGCAGAACACACAATTCAAGTTTACAGCACAGATGTGGTAGCGGTATATCATATTTTTTTATTGTGGTAATCAACGGCATTCTGCGTGACACAGTGCACAGACTGAAGTGATGTCCCCTGGTCTACCCCTGAAAGAATAACGCAGGGATGTGATTCTAGTGGCTGCCATTAGACTGAGAACAGCTGATAGGACATGTGCGTGCAGACCATAGAGGATGCTTGACATTGATTGCCTCTTGTGTCCTTGGTTTAGTCCCTTAATGCGCTCCGCCCTCACCCCTTCTTTTCAGAACCATGTTTTTCTAGTGTGTCAGGCACAGACAGAACTTAATGGGTTTGTGGAAGAGAACTACAGTTGCCCAATGCAGGCGTCCTTGTCTGCATGCTCATTCACTGCATGGGCAGGGGGCGGGGGTCGCGTGTGTGCTGGCCCCATTCTGTGCGATCACCGAGTGCTTTGCATGGGGCAGGTTTGTAATGTATGTGCTCCTGCCGTGCACCCCCCTCCCCGTCATCGACAAGGTTGGTTTTGGAATGCTGCTGAGCATGTGCATATGGGCGCTTCCCTCCACATGTTCACCCTGTGTGGACCCCTTGGCGATCACGTAGAGGTGGGGCCAGTGCCCTCAGGCCTGTTCTCCCTCCCCGTGCGGGGGACCGCAGGCAGATCGGACATCTGCACAGACACAATGTGCTTAGTAAAGAGTTCAGAAAACGAATCCTGGTTTCCTCCACATCAACAGTTTACTCCACTTAGACAACCAAAACGACAGTTGAGAATGTAAAAGGGGGAGGGGGAAAAATTTTTTTTGCCGTGTTTTGCCAGATGAGCAGGGCCCTACGCGAGCGATATGTGTATTATTCAAGGAAGGCCTTATATGAAGCTGAGACTGATAAGATTATAAAGGATGATGGTTAAATAAAACCTGTTATTTATTTTTTTAAAGAACACATAACAATCAATAACAGTTATCAATTAATTCCTTTCCTGTGACCGTTCATGTCTGCAGGGGTGGGGTGGGGAGTGAGAAAGAGAGAGAGAGGAGGGGGGGAAGAGAGAGAGAGAGATACAGAACTCAGTCAACCTTTCAGTGATTTTTTTGAGAACAATAAGAAAAAATTGGGCCTAGGACAATAAACTGCCCGCTTTCCGCAGGCCCGGATCTTCTGCATGGGTTGCTGTGGTTGATGGAAACTGACAGGTGTATTGTTTCTGGAGAGCTATAAGCTCTATAATCATCCAGGGTGAAAGGCATAACGCTATCGCTAAGTAGGTTCAATTGGCTTTAGTTCTAACTAATAGTGCGCCGCCAATGCGACGAACACCTTGGAATCAGGTCTCCCGACTGGAGCAATGAAGAGCTGCTTAATCTAGCCTAAAGGAACATTTTTGAACTTAATGAAAATTGGTTATAAAATGTACTGTACTCACAGCTGTTTAATAAAAAAAAAGGGATGGATTTTTTTTGGGGTAATAACCTATTAATTTAATTGGTCACGAAGCATAAAATACATCATTTAAAATTTAATTGACCTAGAAAGTTAAGAAACAATATTTAAATTAACTGAGCTTTGGGGGGGGGCGGGGAACGGTCTGTGATGAGGTAATAAGCCGGTTGTGTTTCCCCAAGCTGAGATGGAATGTTTTCCCAACTAAGAGATTTTTTAAAAAAACACACACACACACACCCTAAAACTTATTTTTGAGCCACACGGCAGAGGAGACGGCACATGCAACACCACATGGCGTTGGCCACTTCAAATGGTATGTTAATGTAGTCTGGGGGGGGGGAGGCACAAAACAGCTTTTAAAAATAATCACTGGCTTTAAGTTCAGAAAGCATGCTTCGGGAACATATCTAAGGAAGCATTTAAGAATGTATTGCTATTTCCACACAGCTTAACTTTTATTTATTCTCCCCATCCGCCAGCCAAGGCCTGGTATGATGTATGTATATATATATATGTGTGTGTGTGTGTGTGCGCCCCCCCCCCCCCCAGGTTAAATAGCAAAAGCAAAAAACAAAAGGGGCAGGGTTTGTGGGCTGATTTCTCTCGGCCTGCTACTTGAAGATTGCATTAATGATCTCTATTTTTGTATACCGAACAAGTCAAATCCATTTGTCACACCGCAAGTGATGGCATACTTAATTTGGATATAGTCAATTAGCCCGGGCTAAGCTCCCTAGCCTGCTGCGCGCACCTCTTATTTGGTATTCTCTTTTTTCCCTTTGCCCCGCGTAATCCCATTATGACGGACGGACAAAGAGAGGAATAAACTTTTTCTTTAAAAAAAAAAGGGGGGGGGCTTTAAAAAAGAAAATCCCCATCCTAAGTGGAGCTTTTAATTTAAGACAAAATAAAAAAAGAAAGAAGAAGTCTCTGTTTGGCTATTTTGTTTTGTTTTGTTGTTGTTGGTGTCTTGCAGGTTAGTGTAGAAATGTAACTCATGCATCAACTGTGGTTAGACAGATTTATGACACTTCGGGGACGTGCTCTTTCCTCTCCGTGCACCGCTGCAGCCTGCTTACATTTTGCAAATCAGTCTGTTACTATGACAACTCCTCCCCCCCTCCCTCTCCCTCTCCCTCTCTCTCCCTGGCTGTTTCTTGTTTTCGTCATGTGGTCAGTACTGTATAATAGGAACACGCGGGGATAAATGTACATCACATACAGTTTGCTTTTCTAAGCCTGGAAAGCGCGATCAAAACAGAGGAGAGAGAGAGAGAGAAGAAAAAAAAGAGGAAAGAGAAAGCAGAGAACCACAGATTTCATGGAGAGACATGAACAAGCATGAAGATATGGGCAAGGAGATAAAGGAGGAGGGGGAAAAAATCAATAAAACCACCGCTAGGACAAAGTGAAGATAAAGACCCCGTATGTACTTACTTCCCCCTGGCTTTGCGATTGGTTAACTAGATGAAGGTTACATGTAGTGCCACTGACCCTCCATGCCCATATTCATGCCCATTCCACTCATAGGTCCTAGAAGGGAGATAAAAAAAATCCAAGAAGATGCCAGAGAATGAGCAAAGTCAACAGATAGCGCCAAAAGACCCTTAAAAAAAAAAAACACAGATCCCAAAGGGGGTCGGAGGAATATTCAGAGAGAGAGAGGCGAGAAAGAGAGTCCTGTCTTGTCCGTGTCTTTCTTTCTTTTCTTTTTTTGGCGGCGTCGAGGAGACAGGCGGAGAAGCGAGGCAAAGCGAGCGAGTGAAGGTAGAGCAGGAAAGCGTGGCGGAGATCACCTGTGGTCGAGTGCGGCATGACTGACATTACGACTTTGGGAGGAAAGCGCATTGCGTTTTGCGGCACTTACCTGGCGCCCGGATTCCCATGTGCTGCTGACCATCCATCACAAAACCTCCCATTGGCTGTCCATCTGGGTTATAAGGTGTTCCTTGGCTGACTAAAAAGGTGCAGGAAATGGCTTAATATCGCTTTGTAAGCAAAAAAAAATCGACCAGTTGTCTCGGAAGAAGAAGAAAACAACAACTAAGCAGTTCATTTCCAGACATGCCCGAGACGGAAAGTTACGACTACAGAACTCGGTGTCTGCTACCTTAAAACAGGAGCGGTGGTTATTGTCATGGTAATGGAAGATTTGGGCCTGCCGTTAGCCCAATCACAAACCACGAGGGAAAACCTCACACAATACGATGGCACACCGGCAGGCCTTAAGTGCGGCCTCTTGTTTCCATTCCCCCGCGTGGCGTGACTCTACTCCCCTCGCGTGGCTGTGGCAATATTATAGAGCAGGGGTCCCCAACATTTGTGAGCCTGTAAGCGCATCCACAAAATGGCTGCCACAGCCTAACCTCAGGCATACAGCCAAGATGCTTGTGTCGTGGCGGCAGCTGCTGCCAAAGCGACATTTTTTAAAAAAGAAAAATCTGCATGATCAAACCTCCAATGGCCAATCAGAAACCTCGCTGGGCGAAAGCCCCATCTGGCTCCACCCACTTTCTAAAAGCACATGTTGGGGACCCCGGCTTAAGGAAGTACGACAGCCACGTGCTTCCCGCAGGAGTCTAGACCCTGCCATTTCACGGAACATTTCCCACGTCTGTCTGTGCACCGCTTTTCCAAGGTTAGACCGCATATCTATGTAATTAACTTTAAATATGGAGCTGGTCCTGCTAGGAAAGATCTGCCCTTGATACAATAATCAGGGGCCCGTTCCAGTTCCGGAGCAAAGCTGCCCCAAACCCGTTCCCCATTTCCATTCCCCTTTGTGCAAGGAGATTGAGCCTTGCCAAATGGAGTGAGAACCCCAAACGCTCGGGAGGTCTGTGTCCCGATGAGTAGGTGGACCTCTTGGATTTAGAGAGCGTGTTGAAACCCAGAAGTGGAAGTTGAATATTAAGGATCAGGCTTAGAAATGAATACCAAATACATATGACACAATAGGGGGAAATCAAATAGATTCAAGTCCAGTAGCGCCTTAGAGACGACAAGATTTTCGGCGTATATGCTTCCGAGAGTCAGACGGGTTTCTGAAGAAGGAAGATTTGACTCTCGAAAGTTCATATCCTGAGAGTCTTCTTGATCTTTAAGGTGCTACTGGGCTTGAGTCTAGCTGGACTACTGCAGGACCCGCACAGTTGCCCTCTGAAAATTCTATGGGACTTGTGAAGCGATTGCAGCACCGGTAGCACCTTAGATTTTCGGGGTATAAGTTTTCGAGACGAAATATCTCCGGTATCGAGACGAAATACCTCTGGTATCCGAGGAAGGGAAAGCTCATATCCTGAAAATCTTGTTAGTCTCTAGGGTGCTACTGGGCTCGAATTTAGCTGTGCTACCGTGGACCGACATTGCTACCCTCTGAAAAAACAGGGGGCAATCGACCAATTAGATAATCCGGTAGGGGGCGCTATATCATTATCTGCAATGTGTTCCTACAGAAGTTGTGTATCTTTCAGTACCATCAGTCCAACCCCGGACACCAGTGTCTGATAGCCTTGCCAATCTATAGCAATTCATAGCCACCAGCGTTCCCTCTAAGCTGAGTTCGTGTGAGCTAGCTCACAGGTTTTTAGCCTCCGGCTGACACACTTTTGTCTTGGCTCAGAAAGGAGGGCTCCAGAGCAAACTGATTTATGCAGTAGCCGAACCGCTCGCTCACAACTTTAATGCCAGTAGCTCACGAAGTTGAATTTTTGCTTGCAAGACTCCACAGCTTAGAGGGAGCATTGATTAGCCACCATCTTGGAAATTAGCCAATTGTGTGTTTGGCATTATACAAGAAAAATGAATAAGATCGCCCCCCACCCCGGCCAACAAACTGAGAACACCTTGGGAGAATAATCTAAATGCTGTGATTTTTACAATCTAGATGCAAGTCCAAAATCTTAAAGAATGGGAGCTCAAGAGTTGTTCTTTCCTTAAACAATGTGAGATACTCAAATGGGGAGGGGGACAGAGTGTTAACCAGAGAAAGATAAAGATAAAATAGGAACTATCAAGCATTTTCACCATTACTCCTATTCTAGATTTTTTAACAGAACATTAAAAGCCAGCTTCAGAAGAAAGCTGCCTTGGGTTATTAAAGCACATAAAGCTCTACCTCATTGAATGTCTTTGAACTTTACTGAGTCCCACAAGCGATTGTGACCCCTTTGCCCTTTTGACAGGTAATAAAGTTTACAGCAATTCCACACCAAGCCGTGCACCAGGGAGTGGTCACAGGAGCAGAAAGAGTCGGGCAGGGAAACCCAAACATGAATAATCTGTTTTGTATAATGAATGCTAAATTGCGTGCCCAATATGCCCATCATTTCACATGGCCAAGTTATCAATTAACATCTGCCCAACTTTATATATATATATTTTTAAATTGTGTTCAAGTCGACTTAACGGTTGTAACTAAAACAAGACTGGCTTTGTTTAGAATAGTCGGTCATTCCTGGCATTCCCGTTTCACTTATTTACCAGGTAACGGACCTCCCGGTGAACAGCTTGTGGAATGGTTTTCACCACTGTCGTATGACTATAGTTACTTATTTGGAACTTGCCTGCTCGATTGGACTGGTCTATCATGGGCTGAACTATTCTTCTTCTAGCATTAATAAACCTGCAAAAAAAATGGAGACAGAAAGAAAGAAAAAGGAATGAGGACGTTAGTTAAAAAAAAAACACACTTAACTGGTCTTTACTCAAAAACACGAGGGACTGTATGGTAGGGGTTAGGGTCTTGTCCGGGCAAGTAGATTCAAGTGCAGCAAAACCTGTAACCTCCAATGACCTTTCGCAAATACAAGCCTGGGGTTTCAGGACTGATTTATGTCGGCCTGCTTTTACCACAGTCGGACACTTCCATTTCATCTTTTCATAAGGGAATTAGCAGAGTTTGTGCAGGGGGGGGGAACAATAGCGGGCATCTTTCAGACGGGGGGGATGGGATGAAAAGGTAGGGAAA